ATTTAAATCAAGCAAAAAGGTATATTGTTTGAAACAAAAACAAACAAATAAAAAGATATACTGTTTGAAAACCATGTAAATAATGCATGCAGCCCACACATTTTCCCACCCTGAGTCGCAAGGACGTGTCTCCTTGTTTGTTGAGGGCAGAACAGTAAAAAGAATTTAAATGACCCAAGGGAATCATTCAGGTTAGTCTGGGAGAAACTCGTAGCTGTGAGGATTCACTGCCGTCAGCAGAGACCTGGGGGTCTCCTTTAACTTACAGGACTCCTACTGTGTTCAGTGTTGAAATGGAATTTGTGTTTGGAAATTAAAAACCTCTTGTCCCTGTTTAACTACAAGTGGGTCAGTTTATTAATACCAGACAGTAGCCCAGGGACTCTTACTAATTTTTTTTCCCACTGAGTTCTGGACTGTTAGACTGTCGGTGTTTTTTGTAATTTTTTTTTTTTTTAGGATTTTTCCTTTCTTTTTTTTTTAAAAAAAAACACAATATATTTTATTGATTTCAGAGAGGAAGGGAGAGGGAGAGAGAGATAGAAACATCAGTGATGAGAGAGAATCAGTGATGGGCTGCTTTCTGCACACCCCCACACTGGGGATCGAGCCCGCAACCCAGGCAAGTGCCCTGATCGGGAATCGAACTATGACCTTCTGGTTCATAGCTCCATGCTCAGTCACTGTGCCACACCGGCTGGGCGGGACTGTTGGTGTTTTTAACAAGGAAGAGTCTAGACTGGCAAAGCCGCTGGATATCCCGTTTCTTCTGAAGGAAAATGAAAACCAGTTTTGAATTGTGAGGGGACTGTAATTTATTCTTGTCTCCAAGAAGAAGACTAATGTAGAGTGAGGGCAAGAGCTGTGGCGGCATTGATATTTATTGTCGTTGGTGAGCCTGCTTGGCCTGGGAGGCAGCGTTTACGCTTCAGGCAACTCACTTGGCAGCGGGTGCTGCCCTCACCCCCAGAGACTTTATTGAGCTAAGAATGTCACCTCTGTCTTTTTCTGTCCCCTCTCCAGCCGGAAAGGATAAACCCGGAGCTCAACCAGAAGGGCTACAGTGTGAAGTCTGACATTTGGAGTCTGGGCATCACCATGGTAGCGCATGATAACCATCGTGGGCGATGAGGTTCTGGGCAGACGTCCTATGTGCTGGTCTTGGGCATCCTTTGTGCCTGAGATGGCAGGGGGTTCTGCGTGGCAGTGGCTTGCAGTAGGTGCAGGAGGAATGCAGAGCTGGGATTGGGCAGACCCCGTTTTGCTCTTTATTCCACCTCTCAGTAGCCATATGCCCTTGCGTAGGTGATGGACTGTCTAACTGTTCTCATCTGTAAAACGAGAGGGTCCGACGACAGCTCCCGGTAGTTTCCTTAAAATTAAATTATTCTCATCAAGGGTCAAGGAAGCTTAAGCCACTCAAAAGAGTGCCAGTGCGTGTGGACCCTGTAAGAGCTGTCTCATCCAGGACGTATGCATCTCCGAATCTGGCTATGATAGACGTCTTGGCTGCCGAGGTCAGGTGCAGCGAAACGACATGATAAAATAGTGTGATTTCCGGAGGCTCAGCCCTAAAGTTCTCCGATCAGTGCCTGGTGACTGACTTTGGTGACGGTGGATGCTCACTGTACGGCCAGGGTCTGAGTTCTCCACGGCGCTCCTGGCTCCTTCCCAGGCACAGCAGCTGTTTAATCCGCGAGTTACTTCACGTCCCTGCCCAGCAAACATGTGATCTATGACAGCAAAGCGGCCTTTATTCAAGTCCAAAAAAAGATCAGTCCTTGGGTCCTCCGTTGTTTTTATCTCGTTCCCGGGAGGGACCTGCAGGTGGCAGCAGATGTACACAGCTCTAAAAGTCTTAGGGCCGAGAATCACTTTTTGGACTGAAAGGTGGAAAACCCGGTTGCTGTAAATCGCGAAGTGTAAGACTGCGGCCTGTCACTTTAAAGTGCCACCGTGGGTTAGGGGGAGGACCCGGTTTTAAACAGGCTTAGGAAGATTATATTTGACCATCCCTAGCACTAGGAAATCGGCAGGGGTCGGGGGTGGGGGGAATTTGCTAGAGAACTTACGATTAGTTTCTTTTCTCTTAAAATTGTACTTGAACTTCCCCATGGTTTCTCCCCCCTGGTTCTCCTGGGGGAAGACACAGCGGATTCCGTAGGGGACCCCGATTTCAGCTTCATCTCCTTTTCTCCTCTCCCGCCCAGATTGAGTTGGCCATCCTTCGGTTTCCCTACGATTCATGGGGAACTCCTTTCCAGCAGCTCAAACAGGTGGTGGAGGAGCCGTCGCCACAGCTGCCCGCAGACAAGTTCTCCGAAGAGTTTGTCGACTTTACCTCGCAGTGGTAAGAAAACCCGTCTCCCAGGTGCCCGGGCGCAGGAAGAGCAGGCGTCCTGAGAAGTTCCTCCATCGGGTCTAGTCCATCACGCATGCATTCATTCCAGCGCATTTGTGGAGTGAGCCCTCGGAGCTGGAGCAACAGAGATGCCTCCATCCAGCCCCTGCCCTCACTGAGCTCAGGCTGCGGCAGGCCCAGGAGTGGAGATATTTCTAGAGTATTTGGGGAGCTCAGAGAAAAGGCGTTGGGGTGGCGTTTCTGGAGGAGGTAAATCCTAAGCTGACACCACGTGACGTGATTTCCAAGTGAAAGGCAAGGAGGGGAGGGAAGGGTATTCCAAGCAGGAGAAACCTCGTGCCTCATGTCATAAAAGGGAAAAACTCTGTTACGAGAGGGCTAAGCAATTGGATATTGATTAGGACATAAAGAGAAAGATGGTGGGACTCATTGGAGGTTCAGGGGTGGGCAGGAGGTAAGACACAAAGGATTTCCTTGGATGAGAAGGCAGTGGCTAGTTTCAGAGTGTTACTCAGGTACCTAGAAGTCTTGAAAGCACTTCCAGCGTTTGGTAGGTTGTCTCCTACAGAGTACTTGCTAACTGACTCTACATGCCCCAGTGGTATGACAGACAGCATTAGGGGTCTGAGAAGGGAATGCAAAGATGGTTGGAGTGGAAAGATAAAAGGAGCCATACGGATGCTGTAAACTTTGTATCAACATTGCCAGAGGAATGGAGGAAAGTAGGAGAGGGAGCGGTTTTCTCCAGAAAATCTCATGGTTTCTGTTTGCATGGAGACCATGGTGCCTCATGTACTTGGATGCTAATGATCTTTGTGAGGGATGCTGGGAAGGGATGTGAAAGGAAAGCACAGAATGGAGCCAAGTGAGCTTATTTGGGCATCCTGCAGAAGCAGGGAAGAATTGGGGGGCGGGGGACATCAGAGAAGGGGTCCAGCCCAGCTGGGACTCTTGGAGAGGATCAGTGCTGGCCACTTGCTGCTGAGGAAGGGGCTGGGGATCTGAAGGCTGTTGGAGGGTACAGCGTCTTCATGCCCCTTGGCCTCCATGTTCTTTGGAGGAAGCGTTCTGAATACAGCTTTTATTGGGAAACATCCTGAGACAAAGCAACTGTCTGTAGCTGGTGATACTGAGGCCTCTTGGACTTTTGGTTAGCTCTAGCCCCATGCCACCTTTGAGGTCTGAGGGTGGCCTGCCGTTGTCTGTCTGTGTTTTGGCGGAATGATTTTACGAATGGCTCAGATCTTTGTGGAAGCATTTTAATTTTTTTGTATGTATTAGCACACAAATGCCTACCTCCCCTCATGGCAGTCTAATTGTTTCACTTGTGTTAGCACTGAGAGTTTTAAGTTTGATCTGGAGCCGGGTGGAAAGAGTGAGAAAATTATCATAACCTAAGGGCACCTCTTCTTTTCCACGATGGAGAGAAGAATACAACCTCTGAGGGCAGCTCCCTTTTATGGTGGGTTCTCCATTTTCCTACATAGAAAACTGTGTTTTTGAGACACATCTTCATGAAAGGACCCTTTTTGGAGTGATCGCTATGGATTTTTTTATATTTTTATGACCTAGGCCTTGATTCTTCAACACATCTCAAAAAGCCCCAACTCTTTATTGTAAGTGAGGACGGAGACTCCAGATTTGGAAAGTGAAGGATTTAATATCCAATTTTGAGATGAATATATCTATGCTTTTGGCACCAACATCCGTCTCTGGACTACCCGTTGACCTAGAAGAAAAGAGGTATATTGCTCACAGCCTAGTTCTCCATCAGAGGATTCGTGAGCTCTCAGGAGAGGCGTCCTCCCTAAGCATTCGATGACATCATAGTGGTGCTCCGTTCCATACAACTTCATCCAGGGGATCCACTTGGAAGCCACTGTCCTCGGATTGAATATGTGGGGTGTCAGTTCATGTGGTGTGTGGGGTGGAGTAGGAAGCACTCGCAGGCGAGTTAGCTCTAGAGCCCAGAGATCCAGCTGCTTGATTTCTTTTGCAATAACATCAGAGAAACATAATCTTGAGGGAAGGTGTGGAGGAAAGAAAACGTTACGGCATTTATTCCTCATGAACTTGAAGGAAAAAACCACAATAAACGTCCAACCCTCCCTTGGTGTACTTACTTTGAAATAGGGACTACTGAATGGGGTTGTCTTCTCCTTCCCCGCCCCCCGCCCCCACATGTGGCTTTCCTATCACAGGGGCTTTAAAGGGTTCCTGGTGTGAGTCATGCCGACCATGGATGCCTTGTTGGGGGTTTCATCCCAGAGAAGTCTGATAGAGAAGCCATGCGGTCTAGCCCAGCAGAAGGCTAAAAAAATGGGTCTCTCCGGGCAACGGGATCCTCGCAGGCTTAAATTGTTCACTGCAGCCCCTTCCTATAGTCTCCAGGCTTGGGGACTGATGGAGGTCACTGGAGACACCCCCCCACCCCCGAGAATGCCAGAGCAGCTTGGCTTCGGTTCTGCTCTCCCTTCAGGCCGGTGGAAGAGGCTCTGCCCAGCTGACCCGCCTAGGGGCACGTTGGCGTGTGTTGGAGGCCCACCCGGACATTGACACTGTCTGACTCAGAGGAACTAGTATAAAACAGAGACAAGCAAATATAGTTCCCAACTTGTTCAGGAAGGACAGTAAAAGAGGCACTGGCTATGTATTTAGCTGATGACATATGTATGGCTTGAAAGGCAGTGTGTGTGTTTATTTTGTGGATGTACTGCTTAGCCTTCTTGGAAACGGAGGGTGCGAGGCGGGTGGGGTGGGGAGGGCAGATTCAAGCAGACAGAAATCCTCCGGTCAGCACAAACTCGAGCCTAGCAATCCTCAAGAGAGCATGAAGCTGCCTTTCAGTGTTGGCTACGGTCAGGAGCGTGTGTTGTGGCATTTGGACGAAGAATTAGGGCTGTGAGCTAATTGCACGCTTGAAAATGACAAGCCACTTGAAAATTCAAATGTCTTGACTCAGATCCAAAAGAAATCAGTGTCGCTTTGAGCTCCGCCGTTGTTATTTTATACTGAATTTCAAGCACTTCCTATTGAACATGGAAGTGCCTTTCCCCCTAACCTGATGCTGAGTATTGTGCGATTCCGAGGCCATGTTTTGACGTGTTCTCAATTTGGAAGGTAGAGTGGGTTCTGTCGGCTACAATAATGCAATAAACAGCCTTGGTTTGCCCTGTACATATTTTCTGTCAACGCTGCAGTGGTGCTCACGGTAAATTTTGAGCTTCCTGATTAGTGGCTGTAAGTTGAGACCTAGCCTGCTGACCAGCAATCTCTGAGATTTCAGGAGTCCTTAACCCATTATGACGGATCCACTTGGGAGAGTTGCCCACATTTTCTTTATACAGATTAGAAAAAAAATACTGGAGAAATTTTCTTATACTCTTCCTGACTTAACATTACCTCTCCTTAAAAAAACGAAAGTTTTAAGTTCTTCTACCTGAAAAGAAAAGAGATGGTAAGTTCATTACCAAATGGATCTTTGCCATCGGGAACCACCGGGAAAGCCCGGTGGAATCTCAGGAGACAGGGACACGCAGAGGCGTAAGTGGGAGTGACAAGGCCTCATTCATCTCACCCAGGCACAACTTCCCATGTCAGTCTACCTCCACCGTTGATAATTCCTCTTTCTAATCCCCTCTTATTTTTATCCTCCGTTGAGATGAAACTTTCTCTCATAGGTGGTCTGGTCAGTGGGGTCGCTAGGTCCTAGATCAGCCCTCAGTTCCAGACTGAAACTTCTCTCCTCACATCTACCTGTACCCTGTCCCAGGTTCCCTGGCTTCTACCCACAGCATTGCCCGGAATAAACTGGTAGGCTGCTTTAAGTTGTCTCGGTTCAAAAGTTTCCTCTTTTCCTTCATTTCATTTTGTTTTAAGCCACAGTTTCTCAAAGCGTCTCAACTACTCCACTCTCCTATGGCTCTGTACCTGCTCCCATCCCCTCCTCATTGTTGGGCTCCGTGTCTGGAGCAGCACTCATTCTGGGTCCCATGTGCTCAGAGTGATCCATGAACACAGGTCCCAGCCGCCTCCAGCACCAGGCCACCTTCCTCTCCATCCGTGTACGATTTTGTGGCCAAATGGGCAAGGGCAGTGTGTAGGTTGCCTGGCAAATCAGTTTTCAAAATCATCCTTTTCTCCATTCTGTAACCTGGGATTCCAACTCCAAATAAACCACTTCTTTTATTTTATTTTTTTTCCATTGTAAGGCTGGGGATGGATTCAGGGGTAGGTGGAGGGGCAGGTCTCTTCCGATGGCAGTTTTATTGCTGTTGTCTCTGAATATCCAATGTTATTAAAATGTCTGTGTCTGTAGACAGCTAAGTGAAGGGGAGCCACTTGATAGGAGCGCATGACCACAAAGTATTGTAAGAAGAGAAATTGCTAAGTCACTAGCCGTGACTTTCTCTTTCAGGGCACGCAAAGAGGTTGGAAACAAGCACCGTTACCTTAGACCAGCGGTTCTCAACCTGTGGGTCGAGACCCCTTTGGGGGGCGAATGACCCTTTTATAGGGGTCGCCTAAGACCATCGGAAAACACATATATAATTACATATTGTTTTTGTGATTAATCACTATGCTTTAATTATGTTCAATTTGTAACAATGAAAATACATCCTGCATATCAGATATTTACATGACGATTCATAACAGTAGCAAAATTACAGTTATGAAGTAGCAAGGAAAATAATTTTATGGTTGGGGGTCACCACAACATGAGGAACTGTATTAAAGGGTCGAGGCATTAGGAAGGTTGAGAACCACTGCCTTAGACATTTTATTGGGAGTATTGCTTCTGTCTCGGGCAGGTTTGGCAAGGAATGTATAAAAGAAAATTATATGTTCAGGGGATTGGGAGCAAGGAGAACAAGGTATTGAAGATAGGGAAGAGGTAACAGACGTAATATAAGGAACACCTGCCAAGTTCTTTGCCAGTGGGGGTGGAGTACAAATTGTTTTGAAGGAAAGTAGACGTGTATTTTGAAATAGAATGGCTTTAGATCAGAAAAGCTAGTTTATACATCATTGGTAAAGTACCAAAGGAAAGTAAACACACAGACGCACACACACTCACACACCTGTTCTTTCCCGTAAGGTACACAAGGAGTGATTTAAGATATAACTTGTAAATATAATAGAAGAGGAAAGTCAAGATAGGAGATCTTTGGTTTCAGTATGTTTTTAAGGCGGGTTGTGTTTAGTGTTCTACAAGTTCTGAAATCCTAGGCTAGTGAAAATGCAGATGATTTCTAGATTTTAATGTGATTAATTTTTTTTCCTTTAAGCTTGAAGAAGAATTCCAAAGAACGGCCAACGTATCCAGAGCTTATGGTGAGTACTGTTAGCGTCATAAACATGTCCAAACTAACAGTGAGTAGCGATAAAGTACCTGATACCTAAATCACAATCGAACAACCATAGTGGAAGAGCTGACTGACTCATTGAGATATTGATAACTGGACTAAAACTGAAGAAAAAAAACAAACAAACCATTGAGCCCTTTATTTGTCCTAAATCCTCCTGTAGTATAACATGGGCCATGTTAACAGCTTTAGCAAACTTTCCATGCTGATAAACAATAGCATCTAGGCCAAATATGTCTATAAAATTTATATTTTCAAATGTTAAAGATAGGAAGAGTCACATATCCTATATAATAAAAGGGTAATATGCAAATTGACCCTCATGGTGGATTGACCGGTCACTATGACGTGCACTCACCACCAGGAGGCAGACGCTCAATGCAGGAGCTGTCCCCTGGTGGTCAGTGTGCTCCCACAGGGGGAGCACCACTCAGCCAGAAGCCGAGCTCACGGGTGGTGAGTGCAGTGGCAGTGGTGGGAGCCTCTCCTGCCTCCTCTGCAGTACTAAGGATGTCTGACTACGGCTTAGGGGAGTGGGCCTAAGCCACAATTGGACATCCCCCAAGGGGTCCAGGGCTGCTAGAGGAATGTCTGACTGCCAGCTTAGGCCCAATCCCCCGGGGAGTGGGCCTAAGCCGGCAGGTGGACATCCTCCAAGGGCTCCCAGACTGTGAGAGGGAACAGGCCAGGCTGAGGGACTCCTCTCCCCGAGTGCACGAATTTTCATGCACCAGGCCTCTAGTTACTATATAAAATGAAGGAAAGCATGATTTAAAGGATTTTAATATTGAAAGACATGTCAATGTTATGTGACTGATTGATTTTTGATAAAATATTTAGGATTATTTGGAGGAATTTCTTTTTGATGGGTGTTTAGGGAGGAAAGAATCCCTTCATTTTTTTTCCTTCTGCTTTTTACTGTAGTGGAGAAAAGACAGAGACGTAATCATCTGAATTATACGACTTCAGCATTCACAGTTTCCCATCTGCATGACCTGTGGAAATAAGACTTCCAAGTTGTTGTTTTAAAATAGTTTCTCTTAAGTTGTGGTACCTTCTTTTATAAGCTAATTACAAAGGATTCTTTAACATAGATGGCAGGCAACTAGACAGACTTGGCAGTCCGTATCTCAGTGTATGTTGAGTGTGGGAGGAACACTTTTTTTTTTGAAAAATTATAAAATTTAGACTATTTACTAATGTCTCTTAAACACTCCCCACCCCCCCCACCCCCAGATTTGTTACAATTATCAAGGTTTTAATTGTAGCAGGGGATGGAAGAGTTCTGTTCATGCACTCTGCAGAAGAGAGGAGAGAAAACATTGATACCTTTCTTACTAGACCACAGGTACCCAGCAGGCATACAATGCTTGCTTGCTCCGATCCCATCCTACTCTGAAGCAGTGCTCAGCTTCAAGACCGATCAGGGCAGGTGTAGAGGGGCAGGTTACTGATTCCTCTGAGCAAGAGGTATGGTGAGGTGGCTCCAACTTGGAAAAAGGAGCTTGTTGGCCATTTGTATATCTTCTTTGGAAAAATGTCTGTTCAGGTCCTTTGCCTATTTTTAAGTCAAACTTTTTTTTTTCTATTTAGTTTTACGTGTTCTTTATTTATTGTGGATAGGATATTAATCCCTTATCAGACACATGGTTTGCAAATATTTTCTCCCGTTCTGTAGATAGACCTTTCATTTTGTTGATGGTTTCTTTGGCTATGCAGAAGCATTTTAGTTTGATGTGATCCCACTTGTGGATTTTTGCCAACAAGTACATGAAAAGGTTCTTACTATTACTAATCATGAGAGAACTACAAATGAAAACCAACATGAGATATCATCTCACACTGTTAGAATGGCTTTTATAAAAAAGACAAGAGATAAGTGTTAGCGGGGATGTGGAGAAAAGAGAACCCTTGTGCACTGTTGGTGAGAATGTAAATTGGTACAGCCACTATGGGAAGCAGTGTGGAGGCTCCTCAAAAAAATTAAAATTAGAACTATCATATCATTTAGCAATTCTACTTCTGGGTGTATATTTGAAGGGAATAGAATCACTGTCTCAATGAGGTATCTGCACCCCCAGATTTATTGCAGCATTATTTATAACAAGAGGCCTGGTGCACAGATTTGTGCACCGGTGGGGTCCCTCAGCCTGGCCTGTGGGGATAGGGCCAAAACTAGCAGTCTAACATCCCTCAAGGGGTCTCAGAGTGCGAGAGGGTATTCTGCAAAGTTGCTGTCACTCAGCAGCTCCCGCATTGAGCGTCTGCCCCCTGGGTGGTCAATGCGCGTCATAGCTACCAGTTGGATAGTCGAACTGTTGGCGGGTTGGCCAGTTGCTTAGGCTTTTGTATATAGACTAGAGGCCCAGTGCACAGATTTTTGCACCAGGGGGGTCCCTCGGCCAGGCCTGCACCCTCTCGCAATCTGGGACCCATCGGGGGATATCAGAGAGCCAGTTTCAGTCCGATCCCCGCAGGCCAGGCCGAGGGACCCCACTGGTGCATAAATCCGTACACCGGGCCTCTAGTATGCATATAAGATCTTTGGATAATCTTTTCCCATCCTCTCCTCTCCCCGCTTCCCTCTGAGATTCATCATTCTGTTCCATGTTTCCATGCCTGTGCATTGAGAGTCTGCCCCCTGGTGGTCATTGCGCATACTGGCCAGTCGGCCAGTCAGACGGTCGCTTAGGCTTTTATATATATATACATAGATAGATAGTCAAGGCATGGAAATAGTCTAAGTGTCTGTTGATGGATAAATAAAGAAATTGTGATACACACACACACACACACACACACAAGAATATTAATTCAGTCAAAAAAAAAAAGGAAATTGTGGCACAGCAGTATGGCTCAGTGGTTGAGTATCAACCTATGACTCAGGAGGTCACAGTACGATTTCTGGCCAGGGCACATGCTTGGGTTCCAGGTTCAATCCCCATTTGGGAGCAGGCAGCTGATCAATGATTCTCATTATTGATGCCTCTATCGCTCTCTCCCTCTCCCTTTCTGAAATTGGTAAAAACATATTTTTTTAAAAGAAGGAAATTCTGCTCTTTGCAACACCATGGATGAAGCTTGAGGATATTATGCTAAGTGAAATAAGTCAGACAGAAAAATAAATACTGTATGACCTCACTTATTTGAGGATCCTGAGAAAGAAAGAAAGGAAGGAAGGAAGGAAGGAAGGAAGGAAGGAAGGAAGGAAGGAAGGAATTCTAACTCCTGAGTAAATGGCCCTTGTAGAAAAGGCAGCCCCTGCAACTCAGCATTCTCCCAGCTCTATTCAACTAAGACCCCCAATCGAGGGGGAAAAGGTGAGTAATCCTTGAGAAAATCTTAGCATACTACATGTTCAGGTTGACTATTCGCCCTGATCAGGTTTTTAATAGCCAGCTGGCAGCCATTTCTGCCCTGGGTTCCCCTTTTTGGTTTGCTTATGCAACCCCCAGAGCAATAGAAATGAATTTCACATAAAGTGCAGCAGACATGAGTGGTCCCTGTGGGGTCCTATGGAGCCAGGACTCCTATTGGAAGCTTGCCTTGTTTGTCAGTATTTTCATGTAAAAGGAGAACATTTCCTATATGTTTCTGGCTATTTAAAATGCAAAACTTTTTTTTTCTTCTTCTTCTAAGAGACCTCTTATCAGAGGTTTCAGTGGAAAATACTAAAGAAAAAATGCTGATTTCTAACTTAACATACATACATGTAGAATTCTACCTTCCCTGTGTATTCTAACGCTGTAGTCTTCTGTGGTCTGCATATTAATGTTGTCAGGTTGTGTGGGCAGCCCTTTGCTTGTATGGCGTTAGTCTCTGTGGACTGGAACTGGACTTGCCTTTTAAGGCCATAACGGCTCTTCGCTTTTCTGTGGAATTGAGGTTTTTAAGTGGAAAATCTGAGTCCAAGCTCTTTGACTTCAGTGTTGGGAAAGCACTTGCCGAGAGGCCATTGTTTAGGTTGTAGGAGTTGGTGAAGAGGTAAAAAAGACAGAAATCCCTTTTTCAGGTGAAGGACACTATAATTAAGGCCCCAACCCAGACATGTACCTCTTATAGAAATCTCAAGTGTTTTTCCTTCTAACTTGGATTGAGTGGGTGTATTTGCTTTCCTATCATCTCGTTTGCTTGTTCTCTCAGACTCCCATTGGGGGACATGACTCAGTAGGATTTGTTCTTCTACAACAAGGGCCAGCCAGCTTTTTCTGTAAAGGGTTAGATAGTAAGTGTTTTTGGCTTTGTGGGACTGCTCACTTCTGTTGTTTGAGTGTGAGAGTAGCCATATTCAGTATGTAAACAAATGGGCGTGGCCGTGTACCAATAAAACTTTATTTGGAAAACAGGCAGTGGGCTAGATTTGGACCCTGGACCACCGGTGGTCGACCCCTGTCCCAGATGATAACCACCAGAAATGATAACCAGGCAACGTAAGTGATTGCCCAGTGAGGTGATTATGTTCTCCACATCCCCTGGGATGTTCTAGATCAGCTGTGGGCAAACTGCGGCCCGCTTTGAAATGAATAAAACTAAAAAAAAAAAAGACCGTACCCTTTTATGTAATGATGTTTACTTTGAATTTATATTAGTTCACACAAACACTCCATCCATGCTTTTGTTCCGGCCCTCCGGTCCAGTTTAAGAACCCATTGTGGCCCTTGAGTCAAAAAGTTTGCCCACCCCTGTTCTAGATTGAACGGCAGTGTTAAGGATGACTGACCCCATAGAAAACCATCATCCCGAGGGGTAAGGTGTTGCTCGTAGGCTATGGAGACCATTGGTAGTTGTATTGCCCCAATGCTCCTGGCATCACGTTCCTGGAACTCCATGTTTTCTCCAGGTGCAGCCACTGGTGAATTCTTTCCTTCCTGTACCTGGCTCCTTTTTTGGGAAACCCAGCCTGGCAATGATTTCATGGGGCCTAATTTGCTCATCCCCTGGTCACTGTCCTTGCTATTTTTAGTGCACTGCTTATAGAAGGACCCGGGTTCCCCCCTAACCTTTTACAGCCTCCAAACCCACACACACAGGCGAGTCACACTTTCCATCCTGCCAAGCCTGCCTGCCTCCCCTCGCTCTGCCCTCTGGCTGTCATTGCATTTCCCCAGCCCGAGAATAAACTGGAAGATGTCTGAGAATTTTTTTTTTTTTTATAAAGAGATGTCAGGTCAGGTTATTGAATTCATTCACAGACTTGGGCTCCATCCACTGAACTAAAAGCCACCAACAGAACCAGAGGCAAGACGGGCTGGCTGGCCTGGGAAGCAGTCACTGAGATGATCTGAGGTTTCACATGTCCTGTTTTGATAGTAAAAGACTTTGAAGTATATTAAAAGATCGCCAAATGTCAAGGGGATGTGGGGAAGCTAATAAGCATGGTGGTGAAGCGCGCGGTAAGTGTGCTGTGTGAGTGGTTAGGAATCAGAAGTAACGCTGTATTTACTTACCCAGAGAGCTCAGCACCAAGGATCCGACATCAAGAGCTTCAGTTCATCTCGTGGGTTTGAGGCTCCGAGCCAACACCCAACCTCTCTCTTCAGATGGGCCAAAACAGAACGCCTTTCCCATTTTCTGGGTCCTGATACTGAGCAGTGACCACCTACCTTCTTCGGGGCTTTATATATATATATATTTGTTCCTCTCCCATTTGCATTGTTTCCTAAAACTTCCATGGGTGGGCATTCAGTTCCCCACAGGGCTGACTCATCCAGCCCCCTCCTGTCCGGTTTACAACAAATATAATTAGAAACCCTACAGCTGGGCAACATGAAGGTTGTAAACTAAAATCCCAAGTCAGGGGAAACAGAGTGAGTCACATAGATACTCGTCTGCATGCAAAAGCGCTCATAGTTAGCCGCTCCTCCAGTCTCTGGAAAGAATACCAGCAGACAACCAGGAAGGTGGCCGTGTTGTGTGGCGGGGGCAGTGGGGAGCAGGACCCGGCTCAGGTCCTACCTGAAGGGACTGTCCTTTTTGATTTGGTTGGTTGGCTGTGTTTCCCCTGTGAGAACTGTGGATGGATCATGAGCTGATGTATCTCCTTCTAATTAGAGGTGGAAGCTTCCAGTGTACAGCCAGGCAGTTGCTGTCACAACATGGAGTTATTTAGGGAAGACGGTTCTGGTGCAGAGAAATGGCTTTGTTTCCTCCAAACTTATTTTGAAATTCATGGCCTCTCGTGTCAGACCATATCTATTCCCCGAGCAAAGTGCTGGACTTGATGTTCTTATAAAGTTGATTTCATGTGACCTGCGTGAATAGAGACCATTTCTTTGGCTTTTCCACCTTGGATCTCCGAGTTGCGTTTTCCCCACCCATAGCTAGAGTTTGGCAGTCCACATTATTTTCCAGAAGGATCAACTCTTCCTCAAGAGAGACAGACGTAAGTCTAACTCAAGGCTGTAGATGTGGCTTAAAAAGTGGCTTTGTTAACCCTTCCAGTCCAAACCAGCTCTCCAGGGTCAAGGGCAGGCAGTGTCTTGCACGTTTACTGTCCTGCAAAATTGGTTTTTCATTCTACCACCTATTTCCTGAGAAGTGACTGTGCATAAACCTGTGAAACTTCTATGCTGGGGTCCAACCCCAGCAGGTCCAGGGGTCCCCAAAGGTGTGGACGGAGTCGGCGAAGAAGGAATGACACGGAGACAGCCTTCAGTTGATCAGCAGCCTAGTCAGGACCTCTAGCCAGGATCTCCAGCCAAAGTTCTGGTCGGAGTTCTGGTTAGGAACTGATCAGGATCTGATGTTTATTGTCTTGTTACATCTATATTTATACCAGCCGATTTTAATCCTGTCAATTTCTATTACAAAGGTTAGGGCGTTTCTTATCTCCATTCCAGGGAGTAAAGATTATGTAGCTTAACTACCCGCCTGGCACTTAGTTAAGGGGTTGTATCCCCTCCCTAACCTCGGGGAAAAATCCCCACCTGGGGAAACAACCTTTCTGGGAGAGGTGACCTTGGTTAAAACACATGGCACTAAGGAGAGCAAACATATTAAGAACAATATGCTATATATGCCAGGTCCCTTGAAACATATGCTGTGCAGATGTTTCTTCCCTGCAGCGACTGTGTCAAGCAGCAAGGATGGACCGGCTTCCGGCACTTCTAATTATTTTACTGCTATATCCGTATAACAGTTCTTTGTAGGGCTGTGTTATGTATAAATCAGAGTTTGAACTGTCTTTGCTGATCCTTGTATTTTACCATAAATAGGATCTATGTAGCCTAATTACATAATATGTTTAAGGTCCTCTGTAGTGGGAACATATCAAAATGGGAGAGTGGCAGCTAAGAGGAAATATCTTTAAAAATGTTTGCATCGCCCTAACCGGTTTGGCTCAGTGGATAGAGTGTCGGCCTGCGGACTGAAGGGTCCCAGGTTTGATTCCGGTCAAGGGCATGTACCTTGGTTTCGGGCACATCCCCAGTAGGGAGTGTGCAGGAGGTAGCTGATTGATGTTTCTCTCTCATCGATGTTTCTAACTCTATCCCTCTCCCTTCCTCTCTGTAAAAAATCAATAAAATCTATTTTAAAATAAATAAAAAAAATGTTTGCATCACTGGATGTGAACTTGATTTGTGATGAAGTAGGAAGAGTCCAGTTCAGCCCTGATAAGGGTATTAATTTGTTTACCAAACAGATCTGTTAATTAACTCATCTCATACCTTGTCAGTGACAAATTTTAATATCATGTATTTTTTCTTTTCTTTCCTAGCAACATCCGTTTTTCACTCTACATGAATCCAAAGCAACAGACGTGGCATCTTTTGTAAAATTGATTATTGGAGACTAAAACGATGGACTCAATCGGTTGACCCTCCTGTGGATTGGTGGGTTTACGGGGTGAAGCAAGGTCACTAAAGCGCCAACAGAAACTCATCCTTGAGATAATTTAACCTTGCCTCTCAGAAGGCTTTTTTTCTCCCAATTTTCTTTTTCTCCCCCCTCCGAAAGGGGCCTTGGAATCTATAGTATAGATTGAACTGTCTAGATGGATGAAATATGATAAAAGCTTAGGACTTAAAAAGGTGATTAAATATTTAATGATGTGTCATATGAGTCCTTAAGCTTCGCAGACTTTTCTTGTTCTTTACAAAATGAGTGCATTGGCCCTGGTCAAAAAGGTGCTACAGTAGTGATGAAATTGTAAGTAGACCTATAGTCTGTCCCACTTATTATTTTAATATTTATGTTTAAGCGCTTGGTTGGAAAGATTCCATTTTATGCAAGGAGGAAGACACAGAAGACAAGGCTGGGTCGTCAATATTTATAGGGCTTTTATGTTTTAAGTTCAATTGTGTCTGTGGTCCAGAAGAAATTATTTAATATGCATCTTTAAGAGTATTATAAAAGTATCAACAAGCAGCTCTTCTTGTGAAATATCTATGTTTTCAGCTGTTGTGGCTCCCGCATGTTCTCAGATTTCTGCTCAGTCCTGGGTCCTAACCACATATTCCAGGTGGAGTGGCAAGGTATGCTGGTCAGACTCTTTTCCCAACTTTGGAAAACATCAAGTCACTTTTCTCACAGCTCAAAGAGTCACAAACTGGGTTCTTTTGACATTTGTGGTGTAGTCTTAATGGAATGTGATTCGTGATGTGATTTTTCTACCACCTCTTTGTGTGTGTGTGTGTGTGTGTGTGTGTGTGTGTGTGTGTGTGTGTGTGTGTTTGATAAGTCCCACTACAGCCAAGTGGCTTCTGTGAATATCTGTACCTAGTAAGGAGGACATTCGTCAGTCACGAGGGCAAATACACTTCAAACCACACAGAGAATTGGTTCCTTCTGCTGTTGCTCCTCCTACAATGGACAGACCCCCAGGATTGCCTTGTAGCTCACATATTCACTTTTTTTAAAATTTTGTTTTATTCAGTGAAGAAGCCTTACTATCCATGGAAGGGCTGCAATAGAAGAAAATGAAAGGCAGTTAGGTGTCCTTTGATCAGATGCAGAGATAATGGGGAGGGGCGGATTAATTCCTAGGAATGGACTGGCAGGTTTCCACGACTTGACTTGAGGCACATCTTTCTTCAGGAGCATGCAGGCGCTTGCTCCACAGGACGAGGCTAGCTCCGCCGTGCATTCCTAGCTAGCTGAGCAAGCAGCAGACAAGAACTCTTCCTCGCAGCGAAACACACCAATGCGTTCTCTGATTTGGGGCTTATGTTCCTCGAAGATCAAGGAGTGAAGTGATCCACAGGGAAAAGGCAACCGGGAGACATTGCTTTGGGACTTTGGGTTCAGACAAGTCTGCTCTTGCAATACGAGGCAGAAGATTTTGATGAAAAAAGGAAGAGGAGGAAACACTCTTGTTTCTTTCTTTGCCTCAAGTTCACAAATGGGGAGAGAAGACTGCTCCCTCAAATCCTCCCCTTCTTCCCTTTTCAGACTTTGAAGTGCAATCATGTATTTTTCTCTGCTTGCGTTTTCTCTTTGCTCTTGACCTCTGGCTCATAGCAGTTGCCCAGAGTGGGTGTGGCATTGCAATTGCACATGTCTTTGCTTTCAATTTCAAGAGATACCTGTTTGAGCCGGCATCCGTCTCATCTGCTCTGAAGCTACCCTTGTCTGCATCTTTTTCTACCGGAAACGGCGTATGATCCTAGTGATCATGGCTGTTCCCTTCCGGACCCATTGTCCTCAATCTGCAGGTTCCTCTCTGAGTCAGAAAGAAACAATCACAACTGTATTTTTTGCTTTTATTCATCCACCTTATACAAAAAGAAAGTAGTAGATACAAATCTGAGGTCCTTCCGTTACAGCTTTGTGAAATACATAAAGAAAACATCTCTCTGGTCTGGGTCAGGTCACTCCTACCTGTTGTTCAGTGTAGTTTCTACTTGGAAATATTCTTAACCGAGAGTGTTTCTCGTGTGTACACCTCTCCAGCCGGTGAGCCCTGGGCCTGGACTTGCACAACAGTCATACTGGCGTAGAGAAGGAGTTAGTTGCCATACTGGGCTACAGAAGGAGTTCGTCGATGGTCCTCAACCCCAGTGCACATTGGAATTGCTGGGGGCTTGGAAATACCGTCATTGTCAGGGCCCCAGGGATTTGGGTTTCATCTGTCCAGGGTGGGGCCTGGGAGTTGATGTTTTTTTCAAGCCACTCATGTGATTCTGGTGTGCGCCAGGGTTGAGAACACTGGTCTAGTACCTCCTGAAGAGTTAACATTTCTCTTGGACATTTGCAAAGAGTGAAGAGGGACTGTGGAGAGGAATGGGAGCCCCCACTTCTTTCCCTGTCCTCATCAGTGGGGACACCTTTGCCACTGTCAGAGAAGGCGTGTTTCTGGAAGACTGATGGAAAAATTGGGATGTCTTTTCCACAGAGAAAGGATGTACTACATGGTGATTAAGTATCTTATGTACCAAAGTAGAATGGCTTCCTAGCCTTACAAGTCCAAATTGTAGAATGTGCTTTTTTTTTTTAGAACTGTGTTATAAGTTATAAACAACTAATTTTAAAATATAAAGATGCATAAACTATATTTAAGCTGATATAAGTTGGGAGTCTCTGGATATATATATATATATATATATACACAGGTATATGTATATTGTCCCTAAAAATTGCATACACACTTTAACAGCTTATAGCTCAATTGATGTTTCTTTTCAGATTTAACCCATTGGAATTAATAATTATTCAAAAGTGTGTACACTGTGTGTCCCAAACACTATATGGAGAGAGAGAGAGAGAGAGAGAGAGAGAGAGAGAGAGAGAGAGAAGCATGCACCATCTGAATATTAGCTTTGTCTATATCAGTGTAGTAGAAAGTCAGTGTATCTCTATAAAAGAATCATGCTGTTTTTTTCTGGGTATTCTATAATTGTCCATATTATAAATTGGCTTTATGTTTATAAAAATATACTCTTGATTTCCATGTTTGCCAAAAAAGTGATGGGCATGACTTTAAGATAGTGCCTTCTGTGTGTATTCATCAATGGGTACTGCCCTTTGGAGTAGCCACTATGAAAGACTGTATATTTATATAAATACTGCTGCTAAAATACATTTGCCATTTCTCTTTCAGAAAAGTCTTCAGAATTCATTTCCTCTCCCATCCGTGTAACATGCGGAATCATATTATAATTGCTCCTTAGTAGTTTGTTTGACAAAAATCCTTATGAGGTATTTTCTTGTTTGCTTTATCTGCCTTTCAGTATCAGTCTTAGCTCCCAGCTGTGCTTTTCAATTTCTAGAATTCAAATCTTCCCTCAGAGCTGAAGTTTTACTATGACTTGAGTTTTTTTAAATGACCATGCATGGGCTCTGAAGATAATTTCAAATGTATATTTCCCCCCAAAAAAGTGTGCATTTGTTTTTAAGTAATTTCAACCTTCCTGGAATAAGTGTAGAGTCTTCCAAATTGATGACGTTGAAGGAGAAAGAACTCACCTAATGCATATGTTTGATGATAAAGTATCAGTCGGATTGTCCCTGATTTCAAACATGGCCCTCATCTCTTGGCCATGATTGACAGCCCTGATATGGAGGAACAGTCCATTGTTCTAATGACCATTGGGTCCCACTGATAAAGTCAGAAAGAGTTGATTAAATAGCAGCTTCTAACTTCCTGAAATGGAAAATGGGCATGTGGATATAGCTCAAAATTGTGTGTATCTGACTGTGCTTGTCTATCCTCCAAGCCTCACACACATGCACAAAAAGTGTATGCTGGGGATTCCTAAACTTTCTCTTCATGGTGCCATTGGTTGTCTCAGTAAATGTTTTCATGGTGCCCTAGGCCAAAAGAAATACTTAATAATCCCACTTATTAGGTCACTAGGTCCAAACAACGTAATAGTGGTGGTTTGTACCATGTCCTGCAGATGTTGCTCTGTTTCTTTCATACATTTACAGTACCTGATGGTGCCCCCCCGTGAGTTCGCTGCCCTGCCTCATTGTGTCTCAGCACACAGTGTGGGGGTCATCAGTATACGTTATCCTGATGTTTGCACTGTCCAAGGTGGTGGCCCTCAAAATGGAATTCTTGGCCACTCGATCTTCTCTATCACTTCGCTCTGTGTATTTTGCCATCATTCTTATTGTTTTTGCTTGCATCTGGCTGACTAGCTTTTTAATTGAGGCCCTCCCCTCCTTTGCTGTTCATCGCTCCTGCCACACCGTAGGTCATAGTACAGAAAATGAAATAGTTATTACCCAGCATTAGAGGAGCTGGCACTGAGACTGAGGGTGGCCCTGGCTTCCCCAAATGCAGTGGACTTTGTATCTTTGGAACATAATTGCAAAGGAGGCAAGGAGGGGCTGACCTTTTCATAGTTGAACACCAAAAACGCTTTTGGTGACCAAGGGGCTTCATCAGCTCTGCTCAGAAACGACTCTGCTTCTTCTAGACGTGTCTCACAAAACACGTTCTCTCTCGCATGACAGTGCCGTGGATGCCTGTTTTCTCTCTCCTACCCAAATGCATTGTGGGTGATATAGCTCCCTCTGACCTTGAAGGTGGAGTTCATATATTCATAAAATTCCTTCGAACTGGTGGTCAGATCTAGTAACATGAATTAAACCTCTGTTGTGCTGGGGATTTTGCCCTCTTAGTGTCTAGCTATGTAATTAAAGGGAGATTGCTGGCTTCAAGGAGTCTTCCATTTTTGTTGAATTAGAATGCACAGTTTTTAGTTGGACCCCTGAACATTTATAGACTCAGATGGAAAAAATGCCAGAGTTAATCTAGAAAGAGGAAATCTGATAGAAGAAAAGATACTTTATTCTGGCAGATCTGCATTCCTCTCATCTAGGGGTGTGTGTGTGTGTGTGTGTGTGTGTGTGTGTGTGTGTGTTTTAGAACTGGTAAACGTGCTCTTAGCTAGAGGCACTTTTAAATTGGGGTACTCTGGAATCCTCTGGGAATCTGTTAATTGCTAGTACCTTTTCCCCAGGAAAATGCACATTGTACATGGAACACGTAGTTTTGTGAACATTTTTTGTTGAGGGGAGAGAGCGGGGTACAGTGTAAAGACCCCATAAGGTCAATAACCTCTGCTCTGCAGAACATGGACTTGACATTCTAGACCAGGAATTAGCAAATGTTTTCCGGAAAGGGCAGTCAATAAATATTTTTAGCTTTGTATTTCATACAGTCTCTGTTGCAACTGGTAGGTAGGACATATTCACAATATGTCCGTGAGTGACCTCAGGGCTGTGTTCCAATAAAACTTTGTTTAGAGAGTCAGAGGATGGGCTAGGTTTGGCCCCTAGGTCAGGTACACCTGTCCTAGGCCATCAAATGCAAAACTCTAATTAATTAACTCTGGAGTTCTTCCATTTAGTGAGGATTTAGCTCAGTTGCTGTTGAGGCAGATTAGGAAGACAGATGTAGATGTAGGACGATGAATTCAGAAAGATGGACTGTTCAGTCCCATGAAAATTGCCTCTTGATTTCCTCAGGTAAGTATTCCTTGCTGTGGAAGCCAAGGGAACAATTTCCTTCAGAATTGAATCGAGTCCTACTGTTGTTTTTTCCCCTTCTTTTTATTTTCAATAACCAGCATAACCTACTTCAACTTGGAAATGAAAGGCACACTTCTTGTAGACATTAACTGCACTCTTTCTCTTAGCTTCTCTTTTTGCTTCTGTTGTGATTGATGTGCAAGGAGAATCATGAACCTGGACGCTAATCCTTTGGTTTTCCTTTTCACTGAGAGGTTTTAGGATTTGAGACTTTGAGAGGCCATACTTAACTCAGAAGCAGAAGGCAGATAAAATTCTTCAAATCTGCCAAGTCATCCACCTCATCTATTTGGCCCTCTTTTAAGGAAGTCAGAAAGAATGGTTTGCGGTCAAAATACTTGTTGTCAGTGGACTTGGAGCTCCAAGCTCTCACTGTGACAGGGGACCTCGGCCTACCCCTTGAGTACCATCATTGGACTTGACGTGATGGGGCTATTTTGCCTTAATCCTCTTTTAAATAATCAGTAACTTTCGATTTTAAGGGGTCTAAGCAAAATGCCCTTTCCCGGTGTGATTATGTTGGGTTGCCAGGCCTGGCTGAATTTCTGAGCCCTACAGCCTCTAGTGAAAGCTCTGATTTCCCTATGGGACAACTGTCTAATTGGCTCCGCCTTCTGTGTGTACAATTCTGTCAGGGCACCTTCCTGTCTGTACAGAATGCCTCACAGATAACTCCACCTGCCAGTCATCCACGCTGTCTCTGTTTTCTTCCAGACCAGTACCACACTTCTTACTTAGAGCTTTCATCTCTTTATTCTTCAGAAACATTTGTTTTCCCCCGCCGCATCATCAGGCAAACATACATCACACTTAGGGTGACACTCGGAACTCCTTCAGAAGGCAGATGTAAGTATTCAATCCAGCAGTTTACCTAAAAGAGTGTTCTCTCTTCACCCTGGGAAACAAAACTGAATTCTGGAGCCTTCAAAATGAAATTCTTCTCTGGGGAAGCACCTTGCCACCAGGTACATCACCCCTCACCTGCTCCTGGTGTCTACAGAGAGGGTGGGTCAGTTTTCTGGGGTTTAGAGAGTCACTGTGTACAGCTCTGCAAATATCATTGACCTTTGCAGGTTTTCTGATGGAGTCATTTGGAATCAAGACTTAAATTGGGGTTTAGTTTTTCAGTTCCCGACCCAAACTCCTTTTACAAGCAAAATTTCTCTAAAAGCCTCTTTTCTATCTGCAGTGAAAAAGGGCCTACGTAGAGACACGAAGCAAGATGAGGGACTTTGAGGTAGGGATGTGTTTTTGAAAAGAAACCAATATCTCCTTGTAACACAAGCATACGTTAATGTATTTTAAAAACATCCAGGCTACTTCCTTGGGGCTGTCAGATCGATATTACTTGTCACTTGAACTAGGACATTCGAAACTCTTTATTCTTGGGCAGTGGCAGTTAGATTTTGGGAGATTTGCATTGTGTTGCTTTATTATAGTTGTCAGTGTGGGCAGGTATGGACAGTAGGCAGTTAATCTTGGCATGGCTGGGTTTTCCCCAGGTTGTACTTTTGCATTTCTGGGATTCAGGGCCTTTTTTCAAGGAATGAGGCTGATGCTCTTACGACTTGGAGACTGAGTTCAGTGAAAGCAGGGGAAAGTTCAGGCACTTCCTTGTGTCCTGCTGTACGAAACAGAACTTCCTGAGTAGCCCCTCGTGTCTGTGGCTTCTGCCAGGCTATCACCTTCTCTGTTTTCCTGGATTTCATGTACTTGTTATTCCTCTGCCCGTTCAGTTCCCGACCCAAACTCCTTTTACAAGCAAAATTTCTCTGAAAGCCTCTTTTCTATCTGCAGTGAACAAGGGCCTACGTAGAGACACGAAGCAAGATGAGGGACTTTGAGGTAGGGATGTGTTTTTGAAAAGAAACCAATATCTCCTTGTAACACAAGCATACGTTAATGTATTTTAAAAACATCCAGGCTACTTCCTTGGGGCTGTCAGATCGATGTTACTTGTCTTGTCACTTGAACATCGAAACTCTTTATTCTTGGGCAGTGGCAGTTAGATTTTGGGAGATTTGCATTGTGTTGCTTTATTATAGTTGTCAGTGTGGGCAGGTATGGACAGTAGGCAGTTAATCTTGGCATGGCTGGGTTTTCCCCAGGTTGTACTTTTGCATTTCTGGGATTCAGGGCCTTTTTTCAAGGAATGAGGCTGATGCTCTTACGACTTGGAGACTGAGTTCAGTGAAAGCAGGGGAAAGTTCAGGCACTTCCTTGTGTCCTGCTGTACGAAACAGAACTTCCTGAGTAGCCCCTTGTGTCTGTGGCTTCTGCCAGGCTATCACCTTCTTCTCTGTTTTCCTGGATTTCATGTACTTGTTATTTCTCTGCCCATCACATATGACCTGAGCTGACCTAACACATGGAGAAAGGAACTAACTATGCTCATATATCAAAACTCAGAACCAACACTTCTGAATGGACTGCCCACATGGATTCTGCTGTCCCCAAATCTTGAAAGTTGTAAAAAAAAAATACCTAAGGGAACTTTTAGCCAAATCCGCATTCAAAATATTAGACCTTATAATAAAACTTGCCTTGGGCCTTTGAAGGAAGAGCAGCTGGGTTGGGTAATTTTCCTCTTAAGTCATATTCTATTGTGGCCAGAAATGAGTGGTTAACATCATTTTGGGCACTACACATGTTTGTATTGGAGTCTGCAAGCAATTTCAACAAACAAGTGAGGCCACTGCCTTTGGGATTGTCATTGGACTTTGGGGTTTGAAGCTGAACTGTGAAGTGAAATCATGGTCTGGGGCTGGAAGAAAAGATAAATGCAGACAACAGTGCTAAGCTAGGAAACCCATGAACGAGCAAGCTGATAAAAGAAGTTGGAAGACAGGTCTATGTCCTTTACCTTAGTTTCCATATTACTATAGAGATTTTCTCCTTTGGGAAGAACCCACCAAGAAGCCAAACCTTTATTATTTCCTCTAAAAATAATGAACTTTAAGGAAATTCAGAGAGTGGCATTGATTTGGATATCAGAAAATATTCTCATTGTTTCCCTGATGTTGTTGATTCTACAGAGTCACCATTTTAAAATACGGCACCCAGAGAAAAGGTAACGGATTAGAGGGGTGAGGCCACACTTGGAGAGTATACAACCCATCCATCGGCTACCTTCTGGCTAAAGAAAAACAAAACTGAGCCGCTCACTCTTTACTTCTGGTGGCTTTAAGAAGAATGGTGGACACCAAAGGTGATCTGATGAGCATGCTTTTCCCACAGTGCAGAGAGCTCTGAATGTGCATAGAGACACACTACCCGTCTTCACTAGAAGAGCTAGAAGGCCAAATGTAAATCAACACTCAGAGCTAGTTTGAGTTTTTAAAGCAGTGAGTTGTGTGGAAAAGCCATCGTTTTCTTTTCTTTTCTTTTGATCTCAAACTTGTGTGTCCACATGCATGTTCAATACTCGGGGAGTTAAGACTCAAAAGCACAGAACTGGTTTCCTGACTCTATCAGTGGTGCCCTGAGGAGAAGGGTGTCTTGTCGTGAAGGGAAGGGGAAGAGAGTGTGATGAAGGTCACCTTTGCCCATCTGAGCTCCCCATCAACCTCCATTCAGATTATTCATTCGGCTACCAATATTTTCCCCTTTAACTGGAAGTCTCTGTGGCTATTCAAGGCTTGGGAACTTTGGATGAAGTGACAACTTGAAGACCCTAAAGAGCCGAAGAATCTGGGAAATGTTGTAGCTAACGATGCCTATGAGTCCTTGGGTTTTGCTAAGAGAGTTTGGAGGCAGGAGGAAGGGCGAGAAGAGAGGGTCATTTATTTTAAGTTTAAAGCCTGCATCATTTGAAAGAAAATGCAAAGATCAATATGTGATGGCCATGCATATTGATACTTAAATTGGTTCTTTTTCTAAAGTGATTGAGAACAACCTGATTTCAGGGACAAGGTTGCATGATGGCTGGGCTCTCCATGGACGGTGGAATTTCTAAATGTCTGTGTTTTCAGAGCAGGAGTTGTGATTTTTGTTCATTGATGTGTAGGAAAATGTAAAAGCTCATTGGACAATCCTGGCACACAGAAGGGGATGATCTGAGACTCAAGCTAACAGATTACTGTTGCTGGGTTGTACAAAGGTTACAGGTAATGGGAATCCAGTACAGCCTCTGGAAGCTGAAAACCATGATGGTGTTTATCTGTCATGAACTGAACATGAGGGAATGCTTAGATGTCAATGGAATCGTATAGGGTGCCTTCTACACACACACACACACACACACACACACACACACACACACACACACACAAAGAGTCTATGGTGAATTCTGATCCTGGTACGTTTGTTACTAAATCAACTTTAACAGCTAGAATTAACAGCAGCCATCTCAGGAACACTGTATATGTCAAAAAGACATTTGGCGCCCTAGCCAGATTGGCTCACTAGATAGAACACTGGCCTGTGGACCAGAGGATCCCAGGTTCGATTCCAGTCAAGGACACGTACCTTGGTTGCAGGCTCCTCCCTGGCCTGGGCCTGGGCCCTGGACAGGGCATGTGCAGGAGGCAACCAACTGATGTTTCTCTCACATCGATGTTTCTCTCTGTCTTTCCCTCTCTCTTCCACTCTTTCTAAAGTCCATGGGAAAATATCCTCAGGTGTGGATTAAAAAAAAGACATTTGGCAAAAATTTATAGAGTTCTCAGCCAATCTCTGTGTAAAATTCATCCAAGGAGGTTTGATTAAAAAATTTCAGACAATTTACCTGTCATCTTACTCCTGTGTTTGTCTTCAATTTATTTTTTGAGTGGAGTGACTTTCTATATGAACTGAAATGATGAAATGACGTTTTACAAAAATAACAGGTATTTTTAGAAGAGAAATGTTTTCTTTATGTAATTAACTTCCAAATTGGAACATATTCCCCAATCATCTCATTGGGTCATTTAAAAGCTGAAAGGGGTATTAGGGATGTAGTTCAAAATTTTAATTTAAATACAGGGACATTTTTCTACATATTTTGTGAAAATCTCGATGAGATGCTAGATCTAATTTCTATATGAAATTGAACTTTACAAGAATTTTAGGAAAATAGGTGGGTTTCCCTAGCTTCCTTTGTGTTTTGATTTTTATCTCTGATAATGTTGCTTCCACTTATTAATCTGATCTTTGTAAGGGAAAAAACCCACTTTTTCCCTTACATTGTGTGGATTTTGTGATGGACCTTTCTTGTATTTGTATACATGACTGATTGTTTTCTTCTGTTGCACTGCAAATCTGTTTTGACGTCATGTTCATTGTAAAAACAGCTGTTGGACAAGGGAAAACATGCCTGGTGTTTAAATCCCCTGATGCTAGAATGAAGTAATTCCATATGCTGGTTAGGAGGCTCTGCTATCTTTTCCTGGTACCTGAAATATTCTGGAAGGAGACTGGAGGACTGTGCACCGCTGCCCTTTGAAACCCAGCTCTGACACTGTGTCTCAGGAGAGTTTGAAATAGAAGAATGGCTACCATGTTGTGGATTCCATCATCAACGGGCATCCCTTGTCTTTCCTGCCATGTATAGCATGCTGCTAGCTGTCCCTGGTGGGAACCATCTCTTGTTCATGGATTGTGATGTCTTTCTTTTATGAATGAGGTAGGCTGAACTGTAGAGGATGGAATTCATTCAAAGTTCATCAAATAAAGATGTCTGAAGGATGTGGGTGGGATGTGTCCATGCCTTTGGGGTGAACGTTCAATTTCTGTTGTAGCCCCAGGAACTTTTGCTTGTGAGCTGTAGAAGCAAAGAAGGAATCAGGGGAATATACTTAAGCCTGTGTTTCCCACGTGGAAATGTGTGTGTGTGGGGGGGGGGGCTTTCTTAAGGTGAAAATGTTCCTAGTCATTGTATGGGAAAAGGAAAATTATGACTATCAGTTGGTAACTTCAGTCAAGCTGCAGGTTTATATTTAAAAATATATATATTTTTTGTGGGCGAGCATGCCTTTGTGGTCTCTGCTTTATTGGCTCTGGCAGCTCCCATGCATTTTCCTTTTAGCCTAGCTTTCCCATTGTCCAGGTTGTGTGCATTTTTGTCATTTTTTCCTTTTGAACTACTGCTTATTATCATTGTTGATGTTATCTCAAAATCCCCAAACCAACGAAATCGCTGATGCGTGAGACTTAGGGTAGACGCAAGTATTTGTAGTGATGTAGGTTAAGTTTTTATGGGGTTACCTGAAATGTATTGAATTGAGGGATAATGTGGCTTTAAAGAAATCATGTTTGTTTTTAACATTTCGAGGGGCCACCTGTCCTGGGTCCTTATTCATGAAAAAGTCATCTGTTCATAAGCAAGGAATTAACAGCAAATAAATGAGGAATGGTAATCACTGCCAAAGTTGGGGATCATTTTGCCTTTTATAGGTCATTCTAGAGTAAAATTTCCAATCAGAGTATCTCGTAAAAATCATCACTTTATAATCTCCCTCCTCTTTCCTGATCTAAGAGCGTAGTAAAGGAAGAGAAGGGTTCCAAAGTGCCACAAAATAGTTCTTCGAATCCGTATTTTTGACCAAGGAAATGGCTGGGGTGTGGAACTAAGTGGTCGTTCCACGGTTCCCCGTGGTGACCACTCTGACTCCCTCTTACCGCCTCAGACAGAAAATGAAATTGAGCGGTTAAGTCAAACCTAAACTCCTCTGTTCCCGAGGAGCTTGCACTTAGATTTCCCGTCTCAGGATATTCTTCCATTTCATGCCGCTGCTGAGGAGGAAGGGACAAGCTTCAGATACTATAACTGGCCTCCAGCTGTGTGCACGTGTGTCTGTACAGCTTCATACCGCGTGTGTCGTGTTCAGTGTTGTGTCAACCTATGAACTAACTCAAACAACAATTTGAAGATTGAGAAGACAGCGACAATGGCAAAAGACACCCAAACACCTCTCCCTGTCAAAATGCTGGCTCTCCCTCTCAGCAGGATAAATAACAGGTGTTCAGGAGAAAGGTGTCCTTGACAGAAATGGTGTGTTGATCTCATGAGAAAATGTACAACCAATAAAAGACATCTTTAAAAAAGCGCAATGAGTCTGTATATTGATTGAATTGTTTATGGGAATCTTTTGTTCCAGAAATACTGCTCTTAGGTATAAAAGTCCGACAGGTCAAAGCTTGGCTTGAACTGTTCTTTTTCTTTCCTCATCTCTATTACTGCCCTTCCAAAACATAATGGAATTGCAGTCATGAAGACTCATGAGAAAGCCATTTCATCGGCAGTGAACTATAGAGTAATATTCTTATGGTCAGTATTCCTAGTTTAGAAGTGAAGGCCAATATTTCTTTATCAAAATCAGATGGCTTGTGGTGGGGACAGTCCAGATGGCTTAACAAAAAGATTAAAACCAAGACCTTTTGGCCTTCATGTGTTCCTGAGACTGAACTATTAGGCCAACTGGTCATTCAGTGTTTTTTTTTTTTTTAGGCCAACTGGTCATTCACTGTTTTTCTTGATCCTATGCATAACATGTGCAATATTAGGAAATTTGCTTTATGTAATCAAGCAGTGGTATGAAGCGGATGTTCTGGGAAAGAAAGAAACTCTTAGTATAAGAAAATATGGTTGTGTCTTCCAAGTTCTTTGATTTCTCCTATAAATGGAGTGGCTAGACCTATTTGACTTGTGTCTACATTGATCAGAAGAATTGCTAGACTTATTGCTGATGGTTTCAGTGGATCACCAGTTATACCCAGAGTCACACATTCAACTCTCCTTTGCTTATTGCTTAAACCAGTTGATGTTGTTAAATCAGAAATTGACCCCTATAAAAGCCTCTAGTATTTCACTCCAGATAGATGTCATTTCAGGGGTTGGAATGTAGAGTGGAGGGCACCCCCTGCTTCTGCATACATTACTCAAGTGACTTTCCAATGACAATGGTCTCTGTAGTATTGATTTTGAAGTCCTCTCCTGTACTGTATTAAGATGCTGCAACCCTTCATTTTTCTTAAGTGTGAGGCCTCTCTTGCCATTAGGCAATTTGTTTTGTCTCTATTAGGGGATGAAATATGTAAACAAGATTATCAGACATCATATGTGAAGGTTATTTTATCCACTTCTCCACAGCCATTTCTTATTTTCCACAGGAAGGGAATCCAAAGCCATTCCTTACTTTCATATTTAACACATCAAATATTTTAAATGTTTTGTTTTGATGGGTATAATGCCTTCTTTCTTTGTACATCCTCCAAGTGATTCCCGGCTTACTCAAGATTATTGTAGGAAACTAAAGAGAGACCATTGGACTAATAAAAGCTTTCTGTGGTTGTTTCTTGGTGTTCTGGTCATTTCCCATAGCATAGCAACCCCCCAATCCTAATAGCTTAAAACAAGTTTATGACTGTCTCCCAGTGCTGGGAGTTGACTGGGCTCAGCTGGGGGATCCGTGCTTGTCGTTGGTCATGCCGTCGTGGTCAACTCATCGGAACAAAACTCACCGAGGGCTTCTTCACTCCCATGTCTGGGGTCTGGGCTGCGGTGGCTGGACTCGGGTGAATCTGGAGACTAATAAGGCATTTTTCTCTTCATGTGGCCTCTCTCTGTGGTCAGCTTGGGCTCCTCACAGCCTGACCGGCTCATAGTAGTCGGAATTCCTCTATGGCTGTTGGATTTTCCCAGAATTAGTGATCCAAATGTCCCAGGCAGAAGATGCAAGGAAATGACACAGTGTAATTTCCACTGTGAATGCTGGGGCATGTGTTTCATGGTGGGGAGGGGGCATCTTTGAAGACTAGCTACCATGCTTGGTCAGTGCTGTGTGGTTATAAACACTTGTCATTTTAAAAATGGATCTTGTTCCTTCTTCCCTAAATCAGTAGACAAGAGACAGTAGACAAAATGTATTAAGATGAATGATGAAATTAGTTTCCATTTATTTCTCATGCACAGTGTTGTCAAGGAAAGCGCTTTGGTCAAAATGATGTAGAGGGTGCCTTGGCCATCTCTGCCGAAAGTCTTAAGCCGGAGCTGGAATTAAAATGACATGGGAGAGAATTAAGAATTGGCTCTAATGACACAGAATTCCTGTTATTACTTCTCCACAACCCCAGATGGCCATGGTTCAGAAGTGCTTGCCTAGTAGGCCTTTTCTCCTGAAGTGGAAGTAGCATTATTATTATTATTATTATTATTATTATTTAAATACTACATTTTGAGAAAACACAGAATACATTCAGGCAAATAGACATTATCCACAATTCTGAGTTAATTTTTCATGTGTTCTTTAAAATATATTGTTCTTTACTTTTTACACACCACACACACACACACACACCCCACAACCTTAATGGGATTATGTTGTTGTTACCTGCCTTGCTTTCCAAATTCTATCATGGACTTCTTACATCAATTAATGTAGATGACATCATTTTTAATGGCTGTCTAATATTCCGATGTGTGCATTTATGTATATTGAACTGCTCCCATCAGTGGAAAATTTGATTATTTGCTTTTGATTGCTCTGATAAGCAGCCTTATGCCTACATTTTTATGCATAACTCTTATTGTCTCAGAGAA